TCGCATTAATCATCACGTAATTGCATCGAATGCAATTGAATTATTGAAGTTGAAGAATCAATATTCGAAGCGAATTTGCATTAATAACTTTCAAAACTATTTTAAATTAGCATTCAGATTAATTTCATTATAATATTAAGAAATTAATAATAATTTTACATACAAAATACAAAATTTAAAATTCTTAAAAATGGATTTATTTTCAAAATATAAAAATTTTATTAATTTTTCTTATTATATTTATAAAAAAACGTCGATTATTAAAAATAGTGTTAAAAATTGATACATTTCTACATGATGATTTATTACGAAATTAAAAAAAATGTGTATGAAATACGTTCATTCGCATCTGTTTCTTCCATAGGAAGGATGAGCAGAAACTAATATCCATTTGCCTTACGTACATTCGGTTTTATTGCTCATTAAAGTTAAATAAACTTAAGGCCGATGTCGATTTTTCCGAACCGTCAGACGCGTCAAAAATAGACGACGGATGCATTCGTACAGAGAATTGTATGGATGGATGGATGATGCGTGCATCATATCTCGTATTATTATACTATTCAACTGAATTCTATTAATAAACAATCTAATATTAGTTACAACCAATAAAATATATTAATAACGAGAAATTTTCTTTTAAATGTAACAAAATAATATATGTTTTCTATTAATAATGTTTTGTCGATACTGTAGCTTCTATTTTTAACATTGTAGTGTGTCGCTAACAAGAACTAGCCTAGTGTGTTTGAGTAGGGAGTGCATGAATACAAACAGTGAAGGTGCGTCCGTAAGGTCGCAGTTAGGGAGAGCGAAAAGTATCATTAGGTTGCACTTGTTCGCTCGTATCCCACCACACTTCTCGCACACATGGGGTGGAACGTTTAATAGGGCATGCGAGAACACTGGGGCACGTGCATCCGCATTATTAAAACCGTGCCCTTCTTTATTACACATCACATCACAATTAAATCCGAACGAACTTTTGAACAAACCAACAATAAGAACGAAAGATATCACTTTTAAATCTATCGTGTAACTGTCATTAATTACAAGCAATTGCTATAGAAACTGAATTATTATGTAATGAATTGTTTCTATGGTTACCACAACTTTAGTTATATCGTAGTAATTACCTTATGGAAATAAAACATGAAACATAATCATTTATACCATGATATTTGATATATTGAATAATTTAAGTTTTAACATGCCAAGGCAATTTCTTTTAGTAGTTATAATCTCTATATTCTTTTAATTGTATTATCAAATTATGAATAAGAATTAATTTTGTCTTTTTTTTTTCTAATTTACAGTCTGATGGCAACACGTCCTTCTTGCGCGCAGCGCGCGCAGGCCATCTCGACAAGGTCCTCGAGCATTTGAAATCCAATATCGACATCAACACCAGCAATACCGTGAGTATGATGAAAGGCACAAGGCGAGAAGATGAAGGAAATAGATGTGAAAGCAATCACGAGGCGTGTGTGTTTAAGAAAACGGTTCTCGTTCTCGCGATAGGAAAAGGCATCTCAACTCCTTGTGTTCCTTCGTCGTCGCATCCATCCAACCTAGTTTTATTTACCCAACTAAGTGCCAATAGCATGCACTATCTCATTAATTACATTACATTAAAAGCATCTGTTAAACTTACCTGTGTGAACATTTACTGTTCACAACCACAAATATATTTATAAATAAAAAAAAAACTTTATGTAATCAATTTTTATAATAATAGAAGTTTTAAGAAAAACAGTTTGCAATTAATCTATTCAAAAGTCTAAGTATGAAATGTTTTAATCACCAAAGTTGAATTGATGTAGTTAAGTATTCGATTGGAAATTTTTGAAATATAATTAATTTTCAAATCCGAATCGATGACTACGGCGACTACCGTTCCTGGAAACCCTTGTAAATGTGTATAAATATATAATCGCATTTGCTGTTTCCGAGTTGGGAAATTATTGAAATTGTAATGGAAATGAATGAATCTAAATAATATTGCCATTTCCAACATAATTTTATGGAATATTCGCTCGAGTATTTAAATCAATTATTTTTCTACTTCTATTAATTTAAGCAGTTTTAAATTGTTGGTTTATAGAAAGTTTTCTGTAAATTTTTATAATTATAGATAAGTAGTGGAAGTAAAGTTAATAGTGGAAGATGAGGATTGGCAGTAGTGAGAACTTTCGCTTTTTCTTACGCGCGAATAGTCCATTTAATATACATTCATATGCACAGACACATGCTAAACATAATATCACGGTTATAAATAAGCTCAACAAAACGAAATCTCGAAAATAGCGTCGAGGAATGATTGCCAAGATGCGAAATCGTTTTTTGCAGATGTGTGTATTAAAACAAAAATGGTACTAATGTCGTATTTCTTCTCCGTTGCAGAATGGCCTTAACGCTTTGCATCTGGCTTCAAAGGATGGCCACGTGGAGGTCGTGGATGAGCTCCTCAAGCGCGGAGCTACAGTGGATGCGGCCACCAAGAAAGGAAACACTGCATTGCACATCGCTTCGTTGGCAGGTCAAGAAGATGTTGTCCAACTGCTGGTAAACCACGGTGCTTCAGTTAACGTGAAGAGCCAGAATGGTTTCACACCGTTGTACATGGCCGCTCAGGAGAACCATGATAACGTTGTGAAATACCTTCTGGCGAATGGAGCCAACCAGAGTCTCGCGACCGAGGTGAGTGTTATAATTGAAAATGAATTAAAAGAAGGAAATTGTATTTTTTCTCTTCTTTTGCGTTTCAGGATGGCTTCACTCCATTGGCTGTGGCCATGCAACAGGGCCACGACAAAGTCGTTACGGTGCTTCTAGAAAACGATACACGCGGGAAAGTTAGACTTCCTGCACTCCACATCGCAGCCAAAAAGGATGACGTTAAAGCGGCTAAATTATTATTAGAAGTATGCAAAAACATTCATACAAATGATGTTTTAAATGCTATTATAATTTTTCTCTTTGCAGAATGATCACAATCCGGATGTTACTTCAAAATCCGGCTTTACACCTCTACACATAGCTTCTCACTATGGAAACGAGCCAATCGCTAATCTGTTGATACAAAAGAAGGCGGATGTTAATTACGCAGCTAAACACAACATCACCCCTCTTCACGTCGCCGCCAAATGGGGTAAAACCAATATGGTTTCGCTGCTTCTTCAGAACGGAGCAAACATCGAGTCTAAAACTAGGGACGGCTTGACACCATTGCATTGTGCCGCAAGGAGTGGCCATGAACAAGTCGTTGACATGCTTTTGGAGCGCGAGGCGCCAATTAGTTGCAAGACCAAAGTATATAATATAATTTCATTTGGATTTTTCATTTTTTTCACATTCAATTTAAAACTCTTTCAGAACGGTCTGGCGCCTCTGCATATGGCAGCACAAGGAGACCACGTTGATGCTGCCAGGATTCTGCTCTACCATCGCGCTCCAGTCGATGAAGTAACAGTTGATTATTTGACCGCCCTCCACGTGGCTGCCCATTGCGGACACGTGCGAGTTGCCAAACTACTCTTGGACAGACAAGCAGATCCGAATGCCCGCGCTTTGAATGGCTTCACACCGCTGCATATCGCCTGCAAGAAGAATAGGATCAAAGTCGTAGAGCTTTTGCTCAAGCATGGAGCAAGTATCAGCGCCACCACCGAAAGCGGTTTGACTCCTCTTCACGTCGCCAGCTTCATGGGTTGCATGAACATCGTGATCTATCTTCTGCAACACGACGCCAATCCAGACGTACCCACTGTTAGAGGAGAGACACCTCTGCATCTCGCAGCAAGGGCTAATCAAGTAAATCATTAGATCATCATCAAAACACGTATCTTCAATTTTATGTATTCATTTGCAGACTGACATTATAAGGATTTTACTACGAAATGGTGCCCAGGTAGATGCCAGGGCCAGGGAGCAGCAGACTCCCCTTCACATCGCTTCCCGTTTGGGAAATGTTGACATCGTTATGTTGCTCCTGCAACACGGTGCTAAAGTTGACACAACTACCAAAGACATGTACACGGCTCTGCACATCGCCGCCAAGGAAGGACACGATGAGGTAAAATATTTGTTAGCTAGAAGAATTATGGATCACATAGACATTATTAATCTGCTGGAACAATACTGGCTCCGCTACTACGAGTATCTGATTTGATTTTAAGTTTGTAATTAGTAGAATAAATAAATTATGAAGTCGTTAGTGTTGCACCCTTTTTCTCATCGCTTATGTATATGTCGCAGGTTGCAGGTGTGCTGATTGAGAACGGCGCCTCTTTGAACGCGACCACCAAGAAGGGTTTCACGCCGTTGCATTTGGCCGCTAAATATGGCAACATCAAAGTGGCCAAACTTTTGCTCCAAAAGGAAGCCCCGGTCGATGCGCAAGGAAAGAACGGCGTAACCCCGTTGCACGTGGCCTCTCATTACGACCACCAGAACGTTGCGTTGTTGCTCTTGGACAAAGGAGCTTCGCCTCACGCGACCGCTAAGAATGGACACACTGCACTTCATATTGCAGCAAAGAAGAATCAAATGGATATAGCCAATACACTTCTCGAATACGGAGCTAAGCCTAACGCGGAGAGCAAGGCTGGATTCACGCCATTACATCTCAGCGCCCAAGAAGGGCACGCTGAGATGTCTTCTCTCTTGATCGAACACGAGGCTGATACCAACCAACAATCCAAGAACGGATTGACACCTCTTCATTTGTGCGCTCAGGAAGATCGCGTTCCTGTCGCCGAAATATTGATCAAAAACAATGCTATCATCGATAAACCGACGAAGGCTGGATACACACCGCTCCATGTCGCCTCTCATTACGGCCAGAACAACATGGTGAGGTACCTACTGTCCCAAAAGGCCGACGTCAAAGCCACAACGGCTATTGGTTACACTCCGCTCCATCAAGCGGCCCAACAAGGACACACCAACATCGTCAACATATTGCTTGAAAATTCAGCAGAACCGAATGCCATAACCCACGTAAGTCCGGACTTAATTAATAAATTGATGTATCATGCATTTATTACCTACGCATCGCATATTTTTCAGAATGGACAAACACCGTTGGACATCGCCCAGAAGCTGGGCTACATCACGGTCATCGAATCTCTCAAAGTAGTCACGGAACCGACATCGACCACAACGACCGACGAGAAGTACAAAGTGGTAGCACCGGAGGCAATGCACGAAACCTTCATGTCCGACTCCGAGGAAGAAGGAGGTGAGTCTCGATTATACGCAATAATCAAATCAAATAAATACAATCTACAGAGAAATCCGAAAACAACCCCAAACCCAAAAAACATTGCACGTTTCCGCTTCTCGCTTATTTCAACAATCATATCTCCTTGGTTTTTACTCCCTTCAAAAAAAAAAACATAAAAAAATCAATCAAACACGAGCTTGTCAATTTCGCGTCAAATTTCGTAACGAAAATTAATAAAAATTAATATTTATGCAAAATTCGATGCATCCTCTCAATTATATGCGATTGCATAAGTTGACGAACAGTGTGTGAATGAGAAATTAATCTGTTGTGATCAATGACGATTCAGGCGAAGAGATTCTGGAAGGATACGGCACTGCACCGCACGAACAACATGTCTATCTACCTTATTTCAGCGGTACTACTTTACTAACTCGTAAGTTCTCCCTGAATCCAACAACAACAACAAAAAAAAAATCATATTTCAAAGAACTGGCTATAATAACACCACTAACAAACACATCATTCATTCAACTTTAGTTTTTTTCGTTTTAGTTTTAAAATATGTATATTTTTGTTTCGTTTTCTCAAACGCGAGCTGACACTGCTGATGATTCTCTCTCTCTCTTTTCTCTTCAAACACACTATATAAACACTAGTTTCCTTCTAAATAGTTTCGATCGAATGTTGTTAGTATATTTCGGTTTTGACGTTGTAGGCGAAGACACCATGCTAGGGGATAACGTATACAGATACCTGACCGCAGACGAGATGAAGTCTCTCGGAGATGACTCCTTACCAATTGACGTAACCAGAGATGAGCGCATCGATTCCAACAAGATGATTACCAGCGCGGACAGTTCCATTCTTCCGCCGCAAGCCATCGAGGACAGCATCAGCCCTCAACATTACCAGAACAACTATTCAGAGTACATCAAGAAGTACACAGCCGATAACGTGGACATCGCGAGGCATCCGATCAACATCGGGTAAGTTTCCAATTAACAAGTTCAATTAGAACATAAGAGTAATCAATTAATACCGCTTTCTAATCTAATTAACGCTGCGCAGAAAGTTGCATTGGAAGAAGTAAGTGCTAGATTCCATCATTATTAGTTGTTTCCATTCTAATTCCATTGTCCATCATCTGATTATTCTCTTGCGGTTTTTCAGTTTCCTGGTGTCTTTCTTGGTCGACGCCCGTGGTGGAGCGATGCGCGGCTGTCGACACTCCGGTGTTAGAGTCATAGTTCCGCCAAGATCAGCTGGAAGTCCTACGAGGATCACGTGCAGATACGTTCGACCACAACGTACTCCGCACCCACCTCCTCTGATGGAAGGCGAAGCTCTGGCGAGTCGAGTCTTGGAATTGGGACCGGTTGGAGCTAAATTCTTAGGGTAATATGAAACTAAAATAATAAAACTCCATCGATGCTCATTCTGTTTGAATCAGGCCCGTAATCATCGAAGTACCGCACTTCGCAGCTCTTAGAGGAAAGGAGCGTGAAATCGTCATTTTGCGTTCCGACAATGGAGAGACCTGGAGGGAGCATACCGTTGATTCATCCGAAGACATCCTCAACGAGGTTTTAACCGAAAGTTTCGAGGCTGAAGGTAATTCAATTAAATTTAGTCCATTTAGTTTTGCAGCAGCTTTAATGTTAGTAAAAGAAAATGTTTGATAACATCAAGTGATACAAAATATTATAATATGTCGTTTGTTATAATTCTAGATATTAGCCAATTGGAGGATGCATCCTCCGGACGTATAACCAGAATCCTGACCAACGACTTCCCGCAGTACTTCGCTGTGGTTTCGAGGATCAGACAAGAGGTGCACGCAATCGGACCCGAAGGTGGGATGGTGTCCAGCACTGTTGTGCCTCAGGTGCAGGCGGTGTTCCCACAAGGAGCCCTCACCAAGAAAATCAAAGTCGGACTGCAGGTAAATTTATTCAAGCCCCGCAAAGGTGTGCCGTTCGAATGTTTGCGAAAGATCTCCGTCAATCACATACCGAAAAAGAAACGCTGGTCATTGGTATGGTGAATCACGAAATAGCAAATCACCAAGAAAAAAGATAACTTATATTTTTGTAGCATCGCCTTCATGAAATTGTAATTGTACGGGCGATGTTGCGCTCTCGAGCATGGGTTATAATATAAGAACTGTTTATTTAGTGAAACGGAAAAATTCACCATCCAGTAAAAAACTTTACCATAACATTTGGACGATGGTGAATATTTCCGGTTTGATTTAAGAACGGTATATAAATACTTGGTTGTGAGTAATTGAAAATATCATATTATTAGTAATGTTGCGAGAAGTTGCTCAACGCTGAAAAATTGTAAAGAGAATGGCCTTAATAATTCGTGTCAGGCTTACAAATTATTTTCATAAAAACAAAATTATTATATAAACAGATTCAATCTAAATAATATTATCAAATGTATGTGTTCATCTACACAATAATTCCGGATTAGTATAAGTAAATATTACGTATATATGTGAGAAGCAAGATGTAGCTTGTGTCTCTTATATTATAACCGAAGGCCAAATTTACTGGAAAACCATGTATTTCTGTCGCTTTGCGAAAGTACAAATACCGCTGTAGCTATCAAGTGTTTATCGAAAAGAAGTTCTTCTGTTCACTCAAATCATTGATATCATCATGTAGCTTTTAACAAACAGCAATACAACAACAACAAAAAAAAACGTTAATGGACAATAAGTCAAGTATATTCACGATTAAGCTCCCTTTGTGCCTGTGCAAAGGGGGATTTTAGTTACGTCACCAAACGATCTAGAAGATCTTTTTATTGTTTCTCTTTTGTGTACCTTCACTAGTTCTACAATGCACACCTAATTGTTTGACTTTTACACGTCACGTTTCTTCATCTGAAAATCGTGCGAAAATCTTGTAGTACTCATTGCAAAGTGGAAAAAAAACAATAATTAAATGGGTAAACTCGGCACAACGATTTGAGTATAGTTTTGCCGTTGTTCACTCCTGCATCATCAGACGTGTTGTAACTTGTTCGACTCTATTTTTGTCTATTATTTGTTTTCTTTTTCTCTGGTTTCATTTGAGTGCCCAATAAAAATTTAGTTAAACTGAAACCCGGATGGAAACTGGCCGCTTCGTTATTTAATCTCTCTCTCTCTCTCTTTCTCTCTGTCACAAAAGAAATGTCATTTATACCAAAGCATGGTTCGCGCAACACTTGACACAGAGCTGTTTAACTATCTCCATTATTGGGCGCTCAGCTCAACCCCCCAAATATGCTATAGAGCCAAGAGTCAATGAAAAGTTTTATGCGACCGATCGGAGGATTCGGGAAAACTCTGGAGCAAACAAATCGGACTTTAAATGTGCTTCTTTCTCTCGCTTCACTTACCTATCTCTCATTGTTCTTGTTTTGCTTCTTATATTCTTGTTTTGTCTGTCATAATTTTGCACTTGCAGCCTGTTTATGTTTGGTCGCTGCCGAACCTTGCTTTGTGTTTATTTTTTCTTATCCCCTTCATCCTCGATCCTTTCTAATTAACTAAGAAAAAAAAAACTAACTTAATACCAATTATAAAGAAAACGCTAAATTAACATGTCGCAAGGTAAGTGTGTTAACATTTCGCTTAAACTTTTCATTTTCTTCTCGCTTGTGCATCCATCTCTTGTGCTTAGTTCTTAGTGTCCTTGATACAACTTGTATTTCGCTTTAGTGTCCACTTTTGCAACCATTAATTATCCTTGCATTGTCCTGTGTATAGTTTATACTACGGCTGTTGGATGAATTTGAAGGATTTTCTTCATTTCGTAATTCTTTTGGTTTAGGCCCAACCTATTGATCCTGAACTGACCGCAAAGTTGCTAGGCCACGGAGTAGCTGTATCTCCGGTGGTGACAGTGGAGCCGAGGAGGAGGAAGTTCCACAAGGCAATCACCCTGAGCATGCCCGCGCCTAGGGCACATTCGCAGGGCATGATCAACCAATATTCAGGCTCGACCCCGACACTTCGACTTCTCTGCTCAATAACTGGTAAGTTTAGTGTCGACAAAAATTATCAACACCCTCACACGGGTATCTCAACTACATCTCTTTTTTTTTTGTTTGTTTCATTCGTTTGTTATTATTATTATTATCGTTTAAGTTTTGTTCGTTCCGAATCAAAGAAATAACTGAAATGTTGTCGATGTACTTCCATGTTGTTTGTTTGTTGTTTATTATTTTTTTTTATATTTATATATATATATTTCGTATTATACTAAACTTTATGTTTCACGGTTTGTGTCCTTTCTGTGAGCACACAAATCTCTCGAAATGCCTTTCTCTTTGTGTGTGCGCCATTCTTTGTATTTATATTTTTTTTTCGTTTTCTTTATTATTCTTTGATTCTTGAAACACACTTGGTTTCGATCAATTCAGGAGCTGCTACCGTGTGCAGACTTCACTCAGAAACAAAACTTTTACATTTATATTTTCGTCGTTGTAATTTTTTTTTTCTTCATACTTTTTTTTCTTTTGATTATTTTCAAATGGTTTGATGTTGTTTGTGCCTCTGTAAGTTGTTTCATTATCATTATTATTTGGTTTTTGATTTTTGTCTGTTGAGGGGTTGGCAAGCTTAAATTTTTGCGGTAGAAATTAGTTGGTCATTAGTTTCCTGTAGCGTAATCATACTATTTATATATATATATATGGAACATGTGTTTATTTACTTTCTTAAATATTATATATAAATACATTTTAGCCGTAACTATTTATTATTAGGGTAGGTATGACCTGTAAAAAAAAACGAGAGATTTTTTTTTTTACTTTATTTTCATTTTTTCGTATCTTTATTACTATTTACTACTACCTTTTCGTTTCACTTTTCTCTCGAGGGCGGAAGGTTTATATCCATACATTTACGCTTCACCAAAAATTACGACTATACTTATTAACCATCGATCTTGATTAGGTTGAAAAGCATCCTTTTCTTTTTAGTATCTAACGATAGTTGACATTTACGTTTAGATTTTGAGACCTTGAGTAGCACTTAGATGACTGAAATATTTAATAATATTGATAAAACTTGAGTAGATGTGATTTAAAGTAGGACAGGTTAGGTAAAATATACTACAGTCGAAGATTCAGATATATATATATATTAATATAGCACATATTTCGTTATTGTTGCATGGGTACTTTTTTCTCTATAGAGGCATCCCATGACACCATTAAATCTGCAGAATAAAGCATTTTTTTGTTTGGTAATCAATTTACGTGAATTGCGCGATTTATCTATTGTTGCGGCGATTGATCATTATTGTATTCTATTAAATGCAGCATCTATTATCGAAAGGACGAATAACGCAGATAACAACGGTAATTGTCTTACTCTTATATATTATATATAAACCGCTTTCGTAGACCAATTTGTGTTAGGAGACGATTGGGTCATCACTGGTGGCGTCCGCCGCACTCTGCGTTGCGTAAACGAAGACTTACAAGACTATGCGTCAAACTTTGTGCTTCGAAGCAGCTTAATAATGATTATAACATACTTATTATTGGCAGTCGATTTCGGAGAGGAGACATTGTTGTAACTTGGGTGGGAACAAATGAGCTTCTTAGTAAATTAGGCTTAACGCTTTAAATTCAACTGATTGCAAGAGCAATTTCATGAAATACTTTATATTGTGAAGTCGTTAGGTGTGTTATTTCCGTGAAGAAAGCTTTACTTTTTACTGAAAAAATAGCTTTAAACGATGAACTCTTCGGCGATTGTTTGATGTGCTTCCTGTACAAAGCGGAAACAGACCACCGTCTCTTTCAGTTTGGGCAAAATTTTTGGTGAAGTGTTAATCTATAATAATGCCTTCCCGTTATGCGAAACTACTACTACTTGCTCAGAAAAAAAAAAATATAAACATATCAGAACGGAACGACGAAAACAAAAGAAAAGTTTGCCAGCCGCCTGCTTTAGTTTTGGGGGTATAGCAAAAAAAAAAGATTTTGGATGTTACGATATCATGACGTCAATCGTTTATTGTTTGTTGCCGCTTCCGATGGTTTTCAATGTGTGTCTCTTGGCGCGATCTTTCTGACATCGTAATGATTGCGATTATTATGATGATGATGATGTTATTATGTTGTTATGATTTTATTTTTGTTGTGGATGTAGTAAAGATTTTGATGCAATGTTGAATTTGAAAGAGAAATAGAAGGTGAACTAATGCGCTCCTTAATGACTTTTTTCACGCGCGATCCAGGGGTGTTTCGGAAAAGATCGCTCAAAGGTAACTAACTCATATTGTGGGCTGCCCCCTATATTATATTAGAATGTATATCTATCTATACTATATTTATTATTATTATTATTTTCTGACAAAAAAAAATATTTATTTTATTTTTATATATACTTATACATACTTCTTTATATTATCTATCTCTATTTCTCTTATATATACTTTAACATTTTTTTTTTTGATTTACATAAGAAAAAAGAAACAGTTTAATTTGTATTTTGTTGATTACCTCACGCATTCCGCGAACCAGGAATGCTTTTCCAAAAAAAAAAATGATTTTGTTTCATTTATATTTTGGTTAACTTGATAAAAGCAACACGTAAATTTTGAGCTACTCTTCAGTTACGTTTTTATTTCTTCTCTCTTTCTCTCCAACTCTATTTTCTTTCTTCTTATTTACCTTTCTCACTTAGGTACTGATTCTTTTCTTATTTCGTTTATTAGTTTCGTTATTTTTTTGGTTACCTACGCCTTCCTTAGATTCAAAAAAAAAAAAAAATATATATATAATCAAGTTCTTTCCGATTCGGAAACGATACGAAAGTTACAAACAATCACGAAACACAGATTGCAAACAAGTCACCTCTTTTTTTTTTTTTGTCTTATTATATTAGTATTTTGCTGCATATTGGTTTATTTGTTTGTCCTTTTGATCGATTATTGATTAATTTTTCAACAAAAAAAAAAAACAATGTATTTATTTAATTATATTAACACACACACAGAAACCAAAACAAAAACTAATTTTTGATCGTACTTGATCGATCGGGTTTTGTTTTTTTTTCTTCCGTTGAGTCGAAAGTTAGTTGCCCCGCGACTGGTCTTTTCTGAAACCAATCGATTCTAATTGATTCACTGCGAAAGTAAAAGATATGTACAGAGAAAAAAAAAATCTATGAATAACAGAAAGATGCTTCCGCTTTTGCTGCTTTGCCGATGACACACCGCCTCTGCTTGTGACGACACCAAAAATGAAAAAAAAAAAAAAAGCAAGACTTCTGCCTGATGATTGTTGTTGTTGTTGATGTTGTTATTATTGTTGTTGATGTTGTTGTTGTTCTTGATGTTTCTTATTTCTCGTTGTTTTTATTATTTTCTCTCTCTCTCTTTCTCTATATCTGTTTATTTATCGAACAACATACGGAAGCTTTAGCTTTTTTTTTTTTTAAATTAATTAAAATTAACAAGAAAAGAATTCGTGTTGATTTAGTTGTTCCACATCTTCCATACCCAATATGAATGATTAAAATAATACATTATGCATGTTTTTGAATGTTAAGAGTAAGTAAGATCGCGGTTGATTCGGTCGAGTGGTCAGTGCATTAGTGCAATGTTTCTTTGATTAAGGTGGAACGACCCGTGCCCAATGGGAGGATGTGACGGGTTCGACGCCTCTGACCTTCGTCAACGATTGCGTGTCTTTCACGACGACGGTTTCCGCCAGATTCTGGTTGATGGATTGTCGAAATGTCACTGATGCGACGAAAATGGCCACCGAACTGTACAGGTATAGTACAATTTGAAATAATAATCATAATAAGAAAAAAAAATAGTTATTACATAAATATTCGATGATTCAGGGAAGCCATCCATGTTCCATTCATGGCCAAATTCGTCGTGTTCGCCAAACGCATCGATCCGCTGGAGGCTCGCCTTCGCGTGTTCTGCATGACCGATGATAAAGAAGATAAAACTCTGGAGCAACAAGAACACTTCACTGAAGTTGCGAAGAGTAGAGACGTAGAGGTAACATTGTTTATCTATAAACGTATGTACGAATTTTATATCTGTTTTTGCTTGGCAGGTTTTGGAAGGTAAACCTCAATATATTGAGTTTGCTGGAAACTTGGTACCCATAACCAAGAGCGGGGAGCAACTGCAGTTCGCCTTCAGGGCGTTTAGGGAAAACAGGCTTCCGTTCTCGGTGAAGGTGAAAGACCAACACGCCGAAGCGATCGGAAGGAGTCTGTTCATGAGGGAGCCTAAGGTAGCTAAAGGGGAGCCTCCACAGCAACCCATTTGCATCCTGAACATAGTGCTTCCTGAGGACATCGTGGCAGACACCATTTCCTTGACAGACAGCGAGCACATCAAACGATTGGAGTTCCTCAAAGAGAGCTACGACTATTACAGACCGGATCCCAGATTGGCTGATATGAGCAACCTCTTGGGCGATGATTGGGTACCTCTGGCCACCCAATTAGGTCTGACCTCATCCGAAATAAACGTAATCAAATCAGAATATCCAGACAGCGTTGCTAAACAAGCGCAATCCATGCTCAGGATGTGGATAGCCCAATCGAGCAACAGATCTCAAGGTAGCGTCCTCGAGAACGCCCTGAAGAGAATAGGCAGAGAGGATATCATACCGCAATGCTTGAACGACGATCAGGAAATTATCAAGAAGGAGGAAACTGTGAAATACCGAATCAAGAAGGAAATCAGTATCAGTTTGGACGACAAGGATATAATGAAGGATTCCGAAAGCGTCGAGTCCTTGATCCAAGTCGACCGCAAAGAGGACAAGAACAAGAAACGCGGCAGCTACGATAAATACTCTGCCGAAGAGAAGGTGGTGGAAGAGCCGTCCGACGAAGAAGACTTTAACAGAACCGTGACCGAGAGACGCGAGATGATCGAGAAACGTCTCTCCGTCGAACGCACCATTCCAGCCTCGACCCAAAGGGCGGAGATTGTCCAGGAGATCACGTCTATTAAGAGACAGAGCTTGGTCGAGGACAAGATCGCCGAGGTCGAGCTGAAGAAGATTCCAGGTGGAGATATCATCGCCGAGGAAGATAAAGTGGATATCACCACTGATATTACTACTACCACAGTCGAGAAATTGACACAACCAATTGTGAAAACGACAGTGATCACAGTCGACACTGAAACACGCACAACCCAAGAAGCGGAAGCAACGCACAAACAGGAAACAGACCTTTTGGAAGGAGTGGCGCAGCGCCTGGAAACTAAGCGGGTTATTCCCAAGATTTCGGCAACTGAAGGTAATTTATTTCATTTGCAATATTTGCTGGTCCTGAATATCAGAGTTTGCAATTTCATTGCTATTCCAGATCCAAATTCACCGAAGTTTTCCAAGACGCCGCCTCCGAGTCCGGCCGATTTTATTCTACGTGAGCAAGCAGCCTCCATACAAGGTAAGACTTTTGTTTCCATTCTCGGCTTAGTAGACATAAGTTTGAAACATATTTGCTGAAGCCCTTGGGATCATCCGTGGATCCAAGATAATCGCTGAAGTTGGGCTGAATATGTTTCGAACTGAATGTGGCATATCAATCGACATTTTATGAACGCGAGACGTGCACTTATTATTACATTATGATCGGTCTAAAAACGCAACATCTAAATTGAATTATAAACCGAGAAATGTGGTCGTCGCCGTCGTCGTAAGGTTTCCACTAAGCCTATTAAGTTACAAGTCACGGGTGGACGTATCGGTGTCGTGTTTGTTGTGTGTTTAGTCTTCGCGAAATCGCTATCGCGGAAAGTTGTTCGTTTCCAAAATTCCTTCATCCGAAGAGCTGTAATCATACCAGGTGAGTCTGCAAAGAATAGATCAGTGTATACGGAAACCATGTACGCCGCCACCCGAAATCCGTTTATAAAATACGAATTGATATGCCACGTTTAAAATGGGGTTTGCAACGGTAACAAGAATACTTAGAATAGCAAATTATTTGATTATATTATATTTTTGTTGAAAAAAAAACGCGAAATGTTGTTTACCACTATATCGTCGTCATCCAATTAGTTCTCCCCCCCCCGATAGTCCTTCACAACACAGTAATCCTACTACTTTGCTATAATACTACTGACTGATATATCCGAAAACGTTCGAAACGTAATTGGATTTTCGAAAAATTTCATTTCGACGACAAAATTCTCTTAGCTTTGTTTTATTTCAATCCGAAATTACGTAATACCACATTATATACTGAATTTACAAATTTGTGTTTGTTTTTTTTTTAATTTCTATTGATGTTCTCAACCGTTTTATTTGTTACTGTCGTTTCGTTATACTTTTTTTTTTTTTTTTTTCAAATACTCAAACACTTATAAGTCGATGTGTATTTATTTATTTGTTTGTTTCTTATGTTTTATATTAAAAACGCTTTATTTTTTGATGCAATACGCTTTTGCAGAAACGATAACTTTCGATTACGGACATAAAAAATAATACTACTTACACCTGCATTTCGTTTATTTAACCGAACTCTCTTGACGCGTATTAACAATGGATGTATGGAAACAGGAAAATGTGAGAAACAGAAAATAAATCATGTTTTGTCTGTCATGTCTGGACGAATCGTCATCTTCTACTTCGAGTCTTCCGCTACTCCACTACTCTTCTCTAGACAGCTACACAGCAGGCTTTTGTGAATCGCAGTTTGTTCTTCGTTTCCATAGAATGCTTCTAGTTTCTATTGTTTGTTTCATATATTTGTTTTTTCTTTTCTTTCTTTCTTTCATTTTATTTACAATTAACCAACACCAAACGCTTCTGTCTCTAACACACTGTTATTTACTTGTATAATATACACTTGCTTTCTCAACTTACCGAACTGCCGGAACGTGGTTGATGTGCATGGCTTCTTTATGTTGATATTTGCAGCTTACAAAAATGGCCAGTTACAATTAACACTCAACCAACCCCAAAAATCGATGTCTGTGTTTGTGAACTGCGTATGTGTTTTTTTTCTCTCTCTCATTGTGTATGTCGAATCAAAGAAAACATTTGTTCGTTTTTCGTTGATTCTCATCTACCATTATTTTCATTCACATAAAACACACAAATACACACACACATACTGTAAATTATTTTAACACACACACACACATATTCTATTTATCTGTAAAATACAAATTTTTCGAATGACCCAAATTTAAATGTAATATTAATTTATTAATTTCCCGATTTGATAATCCTATTGAGAAAAAAAAAGAAATAAATATCCAGCCAGTAAAAGACGAAAACTAACTAATCATAGCTTCATTCTTATTATTTATTTGTACTAATTTTAAGTATTTACCACGTATCATCATTCAAAAGCTTGATGGACCGAATTGCAAACTCCATTTCAAGTATATAAGTTTACGAAACGACATATACCTACTTATTTTTGTTCGAATATGTATTTTTGTTTTTGTTGTGCATGAAGAAACTTACCCACGCGTCGACCCGAAGCGAGATCTTGTCGAGCTGAAGGTTGGGACGTGGTGGGTAAGGGTTTTCAGGGGACAAATCCTGGCCTCGGGCTACACGTAGCTAAGGTCTACGCAAAGGTCAGTTTTTATTTTCGTTTTTTTTTTTGTTGTTGTTGGTTTGTTTCATTTTTGGAATTGTTCAAACGGAAGCAGGGGACAAAAGTTGTGTTTGTCAACTATGCCGCTATAGTTATATAAATATATTTGGCTTACTTTGGTTTTGCCTGGTATATTATATTTGTTTGCTGTTTTATTTGTTTGTTTATGGTTTTATTTTATATAGTCGACTTCCAAGCAATGCTTAAACTATGATATCCAAGAGAAACTGAACATTTTTTTTGTTTGTTTACAAAACAATAGATTGGACCGCTTTATCAAAATAATTTTATCAAAAGATATTGAGCTGAATGCCTAGTTGGCTTTATAAATATGGCTGTGGACTTCCCGTCGTTCCATTCTCTCAGTCCTGAACACAGATATTCTCCATCCTCATTCAGCAACAATTCATACAAAACACAAACATGTCATCTGAGAGAAAGAGAGCGAAAGAGTAAGAGAGATCGAATTATCGAACTCTCATGATTTATTTTCTGGTACAAATACTATCAATTGTTTAGAGGAACCGATCGAAAAATACACTAGAACACCGTTATCGTTATGATTTCAGTTTACTTTCATTCAATTTAATTTCTCTTTTATTTACACTATTTCTATTTATTCCTAAGTCTACCTTTGTATTTATCCTTCCGTCAACAGCCAGTGCGTCACCTCAGGATGACGATGACTCATTAGATACCGATGGTTTTCGCGAAGACACTTATCTCCTGGAAACGCCAACGCCAGGGGAGGACATTAATGCTCTTCACGTGGAGTCTTCCTATTTGGGCGGTTACCAAAGGGATCGATCCACCTTGGACGAAATAACGTCTCAAGATATAACTGCTTGCGATGACATTCAACAGTATTACAAGGATCAGGCTAAACTGTTTGTTGGCCAACGTAAACGATTGGCGTCTACGGAAGATCTGGACACTGAGGTGAGGACACCTGAGCAGGCCGCGAAGCCCACTGAAGACCCAGAGTACACGGGTGTTGTTCGTGTCGGTCCACATGAGTACAAGGTTATTGATTATGACCCAATACGACCAGGCGAGTTGAAGATCAAATCGTTCACCTCTCCGGAAGAGAAAGGTGCAAAGGATTCAAAGAAACCCGAAGATTGGGAACGCAAGGAAGCCAGAACCGTCGAGCGGCTCCACGGTGGTGCTGGAAAGGATCCCAAAAAGACCACCACCAAGCAGGAAATTAAAATTAAAACGCCAGAGCATAAAACGAATATAACGGTCACAGATGGTACCGGAGACATAGTTATTGAGAAGACGAGCATTGCCGAAACTACAACTGGTTTCGTCCATGAAAAGAGGATAACTTTCGCCGAAACGGAAACCAATACCGAAAGTCAAACTGCAACGCCGAGGAATCTTAGTTTTACAACGCGCGGAACTTCGCCATTGGACAGAAGCCATATCCTTTCCCCGTTAACGTCCAAACCTAATCCTACCTTAGAACTAATCATAGGTCGCAAAGAAATACGCACACACGATACATCTGCAACTGCCGAAAGCCGGTTAACCTTATACGGAACTAAAGACGTTGAAATATCTATTCACTCTAAATCTCATATTTCAGTAACGACAACGCGTAAAGACACAAGCGGGACGGAAACCTCGCAGCGCGTAGACGTCGGTATGACAGCTAGTGCAGAGACTAGCGAGAGCCGTTCTTCCGAGGAAGCAATTAAGACGGACACTTTCATTATGCATCCTAGTAACACTGTCACCGAGACAACACTTACTGAGACCACTCAGCGTAAACGCGACGAAACCGTTAATTTTAGTGGCACCAAAAAGATCTACCACTACGATTCAGAAATTACAGATACACACCTGGATTCACCCTACACCGAAGAGAGTGTGTCCCATCATATCACAGACACCGGTATATCCTTGACTAGAGGTTTAACGGACACAATGACCAGCTTTGTCCAACAACCTTCAGGTGGTTTACCTGGTGCTCAAACAACAGGATTTGCGTCCGACATAGCCGATGATCATGAGGAGTACGAATTAACTGATGCCGGTCTAAGTCCGATACAGGCTGATGAAATGGCACCGATTGGTGCATTCCCCGAAGACGAGACCCAATACATAGATATGGGCACTAGTCCAATTGACTTCGCTACACACATAGACACCTCGGAAGCAGGTACCTTAACAGATCAGATAGATACTAAGGATGCCTCCAACAGTCCAATCAAACCAGACGACAGCCTTATATTATCCACCACGGATCAACTAAAATCCGATGAGATTTTATCATCCAGACGTGGATCCGGTGACGTTAAGGCTAAGATCAAAATGCTGGAGGAACATGTTACCAAATCGCCTTCTCATATTGATTATTTGCGCAAGAAGCAACGCGAAATTGTCGACTCAGAGGATGAACTTTCTAGCTTGAAAGAGGAAGAAGAATGCATCCTAAAGGGATCAACCGAGACTCTAGCACAAATCGACGATGACAATTACGACAAAGTTGAGAGCGTATCATATTCAGCCAAGGATAACGAGTTCGATTTAGAAGACTCTACTATTTCGGAATCGAAATCGTACAACGTAAAGTTCTCTACGCCGTCCCATAAAGTCGGTCCGAAAATAGCCGAATTGCAGAAAATATTTTCAAAATCCATTGACGATGTCAGCGAAATTAGTGAGAGTAAATCATTATCTTTGAAGAAAGAAAAAGTTCAACTCATGGACGAGGCTGTAGTTGTTGCAATTCAGACTAAAGCACCCGCAGAGATTGTGCAGCCCGAAGATCCTGAGATAATTAAGAGCGTAAGGGAAACGAAGTCAATGTTCGAGGAACTAATAATGAAATCCACAGAAACCACTCCCGTTAAAAAACAGAAATACAAGGATTCCGATGAGGAAGTGCACGCTGAATTGATAACTACATCCAGTTATGATGCAGAAGCTATTCCACCAAGGGATCACAAGCACAAAAAA